GAGGGCTGAAAAGGATTTCCATTCATCTTTAACAAACAGGTTCCCATAGCTAATGTCCCAAGGCCCCAGCTACTCTACCCGCTGCCAGTCTTTCACTGTCGTCTCCGTTGATGGTGGCAACAGGAGTGCAGAGGCATCTCCCAGGTATTCTTCCCACCTCATTCTCTCCCCAGGCTCCAAGACTTCCCAGGTTCCCAAGGCCCTCGCCTTGTCTTCATCTCTTGCACTCGCCATTCAGCTCTTTCCCTTTTTTTTCTTGTGCTACTCTCACCTTTTCTTCTCTCAGTTCCCATTTCCACTCTCTGGTTTCAGCCTCCCACCAATATGATAGCTTCTGGGGAATGTCGCTCCTGAGCTTCTTTCTCTCTTTCCCTCCTCCAATGGAATGGACGCCGCTCTGACAAGACATGCCTCCATCTTGCCTCCTTGCTCACAGCTGGTTTCTGAAAATAAGTTCTAGACAGGCAGAAGCATCCCACTAGCTCTGACAGGGGAGCCCAGAATAAGGGGCAAAGCAGTCCAGTGTGTGGCAACTAGAATTCTACCTGAACATCAAAGTCAGTATCAGAAGGCAGTGGAGGGTCAAGCTAGTCCAGGTGTGTCAGAGGTAAGCAAGAAGAGTCGGTCAGTCATAACACAGCAATCCAAGCAATAAGGAGGCAGCAGCAGGGCCTGGGTACAAAGGAGGTCAGGTCTGCAGCAAAGCAAACTGTTCTCCAGAGGGTCCTTATAGCTGGGTTGCTGGGTCCCCAGCTGGTACTCAGCTGCAAAACTTCTACCTGCTAAAGGAGAACTTGAGCTACAGGTTTTGGCCTGCTGGTCTCACTGCGAAGAAAAGCTTCCCTCCAAGGACACTAGCTATCCCTAAGAAGGCTCTTCCTCCCAAGAAGTCTTTCCTCGCTACCTGGCGGCTTCTCATTGTGCTTGTATTTCCAGTCTGCACTGCTTCTGTGGTCTGGGTGGGGCTACAATATCTTCCTGGGACGCAGCCCCTGGGCCCTGGTGAGCTCCAAACTTAGCCTCTTGGCTCTCTGAAGGTCTGGGAATATAAGTTCCCCCCAAGTAATCCCCACCCCACCCCAGTAATAGAGTTCTGTTACTTCCAGCTCTTCCTCACTAGAGGACTTCTCGGAAGGGAGTGTGACATGGTGCAGCTACATTCATAACGAGGAAGTCGATCTACTTCTATTCTCCTGATTTAAGTACACACAAATTAAAGTTGCATTGTTCTGGTCAGAGTTCTCAGTATTTCCCAAAGTCTAAATTTCTAACCCCCAAAGCCCAAATTGTGAAAAATGCAGTTTCATCACTCCAGCCAAATCCTGTACATGCAAATAAAAAAGGAAAACGACTTCTTAAAATATGCTTGCTAAACATTTCAAAAGGATGAGTTAGCAAGCAATCTGAACCAATATAGAGACTGAGATATTTTGGTAATAAGCGGCTACAGTGGTCTATGGACAGAACTATAAATAAGGGGTATCATTAAAGCTCAGCTACTGATTCTGTTCTAGAAAGACCAGGCTGCTGTCCAGCAAGAGTTCTAAAACTATAGTTCACTTGCAAGCATGCTTGTGTCTATAACCTAGCAACAGTGCATGTTTGCACAAGTATTTGGAAAGGGTAGGCAAAATCAGTGCCGCAGGTTCTAGAGGACAAGCGCATGCTGGATTTCAAAGTAACAAGACTGAATATAGCAAGCTGTCTTATACCAAGTGGGCATAAGCCTACCTGCTGACACTGAATGATCATTGCTTTACAGCATTTCATATTGGTTTTATCACCTGTCCTACCTTGAGATACTGGGAATTAAACACAGCACTTTCTGCATGCAAAGCATATGCTCCCTATCACACTGTGTGTACCACTGTGCTGTGTAACAATTCAATTTCATTGGTCCAAAAGCCAGGAGCCCAATGTATCCAAAGAACTGAGAAAAAATAAAAGGCATCATTGAGTCTCGAGAGACTATGGTAACGTGCTCTGAATAGAGGTCTTGTAACAGCGTCTAGTGTGGCTGAGAAGGCCAATTCGAGAGTGACAATCCCTTCCATAGGCATAGGCATAGGAATCCTTCAGTCTTAAGAGACTATGGTAACATGCTCTGAATTGAGGAGTGTCCTCTCCAGAGCATGAAGCCTGGGTAAAGTAATATGGAGGATAGGCTGTTACCCGAGCAGCAGATCCCCCCTCTCCACATTGCTGAAATGGTCCAATGGAACGGCAAGAGCCAATACAACTGGTTCCAGCGACGTCACGGGAGTTGGCAGAATGACATGAACTGCCTTCGGGACTCCAGCTCCAGATTTTGCCTCGAGGTTATCTCCTGAAGCCCTTTCCATGAGTGGATATAGCCACAAGGCAGTGGAGGTTTGAAATCGGAGTTTTCCTTCTCCTAGATGGGCTGCCTTCCATGGCTGACGAGCCCCACCTACCCGGCCTGCGCTTTAATAGTGCGGAAGGCTACACACCTAAATAACAGGATATGGTCTCCTGTTTCTTTGTATGCTGTTCATCTCCATCCATGGTATATGAACCTCCTTACAACAAGTTGAGTCCATTAGTATGGGAAGAGCCTAACATATTAGACAGGAAAAAAAGAAAATATTTGAATAAATGCAGAAGTCTGCACAGTGTGCTGCTTTGATTCTTTCATATTAGGGTCTTGGTCACAAACAGAGGAGTTCTTACTGTATGTCCCAAGCTAACTGGACAGGAAAAGGTAGAAACATCCAAACTCAATTCCTTCCCTGAAGCGAGAGGAGTTAATTTCATGGTCTATAGTTCTGTGGCTGTTGGGAGTGGCCTAGGAGGCCAGCCTAGGCATTTGACTGCCATTCAAAGCAAGCAAAGCTGCCGTTGACGGCAAGGCAGTGCCTTAGCATCTTTGCCATAGAAGCCTCTTCCCTTGCTTGTGTCAGGATGTGGTTTTCCAGCTGCAATGACAGCATGTAATTCCTCTAGTCAAAGGCAGTCTGTTTTTATTTGCCTTTTGATCCTATAAGCAGGTATGAAGGGTAGATGCTTGCTCAGCAGTTATGCAGTAAAGTGCCCGCTGCTCCCTCTTGCAAACCTCAGACTACAAAATGCACCAACTCACAGTGTTCACTAGAAAATCTAGAACCATGGTAATGGGAAACGTTGACAGCTGGGTAGTGGAGAGGGGAGCAATGAAGGTTGAAATTCAGGGCAGGATGAGAGAGAACAGCAAGGTGTATATAGCAGCAGTCCCCAACTTTTTGGGTCCACGGACCGGTTGGGGGGGTGCGGGCTCCATGTGCAGGGAGCACCCCGCTTGCAGAGGGGCATGTTGTGCTTGCAGAGGGGCATGTTGTGCTTGTGGAGGGGTGTGTTGTGCTTGTGCGCATGCGCGTGCATGCATGGGGGGGAGATCCGTCTCCACAGCCCAGTTCCAGGAAGCCCACGGACCAGCACCAGGCTGTGGACCGGGGGTTGGGGACCCTTGGTATATAGCACTGCACTATTATGAGTAGGAAGGGGGATAAACTCATGACCACTTCAGCTAGGCACAGCCAGGATCTTACACTACAGCTTGCCAAATGCTAGAATGCCCTTCTGCTTGTGCAATTCCAGAACCAAAGCACAAACTAGAGGGATATCCTGGTGAATCGCTAGGATTAGATTGTGCGGTGATGTCCGGCAGAGAGTTGAACCTCATGCAGATCTTTGCTCTTGTTTCTTGACACATATAATATGTCAAGATACAGGTATTCATTTAGAACTCTAGCTTACAGATTTCATATAGTGGTACGTATCTAATGAAAGTTCAAATACAACACAAACTGTTGGATAGCTCAGTGCTTTAGATATCTGGTTGCAAAGACAGAGATTGGGCATTCAATCCCCCACTGTGCCTCAATGATCCATAAGGTCCTTTCCAGGTTTGACATTACAGGATGATGATGATTATATACACACTTAGAATTCTAAAATTCTGGGCCCAGAAATGGAAAAATGAAGAAATACCAACAACAGAGCAGTTGCTAAAGAGGTTATGGAACATAGCAAAACTAGATACACTTTCAGAAGCGTTGCGGGAACAACCAAGAGACTATGTAAAACAAAGCTGGAAATTAATATATTGTTGGGCCCAGAAAAAGACAGGAATTTAGGGCAAAATTTGGTATTCTATGTACTCAGTGCTCACTGGAAACCAACTGGAGTAATCCGAGATCCAAATGATGTTGAAATCTCTGCCCAAAAGGGGGGTGAGAGGGTTTGTCTTAGTTAGTAGTGTTTTTTGTTGTTTGTTTGTCTGTTTGTAGTGGCTGGTGGTTTGGTGTTTCCTATTTTGTCTGCTTTGTTGTTTTTTATTTTAAATAGAAAAATTCTAAAAAAGAATTCTAAAATGAAGAAAAGCAAGGACAATTCTGCTATTAAGCACAGTAAATGTTAGGATACTCACTGAAGAAAAAAAAACTTCACTTGCTGTAATATTTTTACCATAAAAGAAAAGATGTGTGTGTGTGTATGTGTGCACCCATGTGACCATCTAATAGGCAGAAGAAGTGTCAATGGAAAAAGACTGCTCAGACGGAGCATTAAAGAGTTAGGGTTGGGCCAGGGCATATATTCTGAGCAAAGAAGAAAAGTTTGCCACCAGGCACATGTAGACTCAGTCCAGGATGTTATAATTTATATGGATTTGCTTCTATCACTAAATATATTTTTCATTTCATATTTAAATCTTTACAAAATATTTTGAAGAAACAGTATAGAAGAGGTCAAAGAAAAAGAGAAAGAACCAGCTGTCTGGTACTGCGGGGGAAGGATGTTTGGGTCAGCACAGGGGGCTGGGCCAGCATAGTATGGACAGCGCAGTCAAGCACATCCTCAAGGAATGTGGTGTTTTGGGAGGAACTGAGTACATATTTTTTGAACTTTTCTCCACTACACAGGAGCACAGGAAGAAAGCTGATATTCCAGGAGAGCCAAATGATGTACACCATCATGAACCGGACACTTCTGTATGAATAGATGGCACCACAATGGATTTCCCCTTTTTGAAAGCAAAGTCTTTATTTTCCACACACTAAGAAAACTTCTTACTTTGTATGCAACATCTCTCAATTTCTGGGACAGTGTCAGCAGCAGAAAGGAGAAAGGACAAGCCTTTAATAGGGTGGGAAATAGCTGTGGCACCGTCCGGGACATTCCCCAGCTACTGTTTTGAAACACGGCAAGAGGAGCAGAGTGGTACCAGCTGTGCACCGAAGTGTGCCATGCAGCTCTCTTCCAGATAGTCTAGAAAAATGGAACAGCAAGGGCATTCTATCTCCATGAAAAAAGGTCACCTGGATCAGCCAAAGAGCCCTTTTGCTTTCTTCTTTTTGCTCTTGACAATTGGCAAGCGAGCACTCTGAGTTTGGGAGGTTAGTGCCCCAAAAGAGAAGGAAGTCATCAGAATCTATTAATTAACCAGATGATCAAAACTATAAAACAATAAAACAAGGGTAAAACAATAACAGCCACATAGGCTAACATTGGCTTCTTTACTCCATACCTCTAGTGACCATATTTGTCCCTTTCTCCTTTTAAAGAGAAAGAGGAAGAAAATCCCTCTCTGTGTCCCTTCCTGTGGGGGGGGGGGTATGAGAAGCTTTGGTTTTTTTTTTAATGATTTCTATGTGGCATAACACTTTATTGGCTTGCCAAGCAACTAGTTTAGCACTGCTTTACACAGGTCTAAATATATATATAATCATTTGCATCTTCTCTCTCCCCCTTCATGGAAGAGTGGGGGAAGATTTCCCAATATTCTCAAGTGACTTAAGCAAAGTAACAGCTTAAGCCACCTGCTCTGGTTTGATCCCAGCAACCATAGATGCTGGAACTGAACCAAAACAGAGCAATCCTACCTGAACCAGAAAAATAGTAGCTTTGACGGGGCAGATAGGCAAGAATCATGGGCTGGTTTGCAACTGAAAGTATGTCACATGTTGCCAGGAAAAGGAGCAAGCCAGCCCATCCCCAAACCAGGCTAAAACATGGGACAAATCCACATTTAATTGCATTGTTACTTATGTTATAGATGTGCAGCTATCAATCATATCTCGGTAGCTTTACAATGGAGGAGACCGGCATTCCAACTTTGTAGCACTCAAGAATGCACCATATTGTGCCTGGAAAAATATAATTCTCTCTTCCCGCCAATGTAATCTGGAATGCTGTCTGGAATGTGGTTTCACTCATGTCACATAAACCTATTGCTTAGTGCATGTAATAGCACTCCTGACAAACTACTCCATCCCTCCACCCACATATGCTTATGTCATTTTATGGGCTTTTAAGAATGTTTGTTTGCTTGTATGGTCAAGTACCACATGGCCTGCTCATCCTCTGAGATCTTACTACTTCATACAGCACTGGAACAATGCAAGACAGCCACAATAAAGTGGTAGCCAGAGTGTTCGACTAAACCAGGGCTCCATCCATTATGTTTTCTATTTTTTTCACTTCCCCTTCTGCAAAACCTTATCTACCTTTATTTTTATTCTCACTGTGGTAATGTTATTCTATATCCCTAGAAGAGCTTCTTTCTTGTTATTCTTAAAGCCAGACTATCTGCCACTTTTTTCTTCACTATAAATATCTTCTACCAAGCCTGCTGTAAACCACAATTGCCATCCTTGGACACATCTTTGGGGGTGAGTGCATAGATCTTTGCTGCTCCCTAGTCTAGAGACTGCCCATCTGAGTCCCTGTGGAACAGCTGCCAGAGATGATGCTACAGCTGAGTACATTTTAACATTCCCCTTTAAGGGGAGGGACTGTAGCACAATGCAGAGCACATCATTTTCATGGCCAAAGGGCCTAAACTCAACTCTTAGCTTCTCCAGTTAACAGGACCTGGTAGGAGATTATCGGAAACGCCTCCTCCTGAAATCCTGTAGAGTTACTGCTAGGCAGAGTGAACAGTACTGACTTAGATGGGCCAAAAATCCAGTTAACAGGACCTGGTAGGAGATTATTGGAAATGCCTCCTCCTGAAGTACTGAGTTAGATGGGCCAAAAGGCTGACTCCATATAAGGCAGTTTTATATGTCTCAGCCTTTAAGTGCATTCATCTGCTAGGTAGTGCAGTTCTATTACATCTTCACTAACAACATGCTTAAAGTGGGGTGGGGAACAGGTGGCCGTTCAGATGTGGTTGCACTGCGATTCCCCTCAGCTCCAGCTAGCATAGCCAATGATGCTCAATTCTTACAAGTCAGTTCAATAAAAATTAGATTTAAAAAACTGCCAGGGAAAGTCGCCTCCTACTCTGCCTCAGGGCACAAGGAGCTTTCTGAGCAGACTTTTGTTTCAAAACAAGTTTTTAAAATTGGGGAGCAAGATGGAGTAAGAGCTCTGGGGTTTGTTCATTTGCAAAAATGCCTGCATGCAGGAAACCACATACAACCCACAATACGGAGCTCACCTCTGATCTAGAGTGTTACATGTTCCCCATCCCTAACTTAGACAACTAAATAGATCCTATCAACCCATTTTGTTTTGTCCACTCAGCAATGACTATATGGTCTCTAGCTAAGGAGCATGCTAATCAACAGCACACACATGCACTGGCAAGGATCTGTATCCTTCACTCGCTCTCTCACCATATCCCATTCCCTGTGGATATGGTAGATCATTATGCACAATACAGAGGTGCAGCAGCTAGTACATGTTTCAGAATCTCTGGCAGAATGTCTTCATTAATAGTGATGGTGCCGTCAGCTGTCCCAACCATTCCTCAATGAAGCTATTCCCATAGATACGTATGTTCTGAATCTCCCCTCACCACTGTGTCTTGCACACTCTCTGTAGAGGTTAATTGGAACTCTGTCTTATCGCCATCAGTTGGTAAATCCACAGCCTTCTCGGAAATGTCCTGAGCGCCAACATGTTCACAGCTCACGGAGTCTCCTGATGCTGTCAGAGGCGGGAAAAAGGAAAGGAAAGGAAACGCTAAATGCAGATGTATAGGCTTACGAATGTGTTAAAGTGGAGTAAAGGGACAGTATTTTAATAAATATGCATTTGTATATGAACATCAACTATCTGTGGAAATCCAACTCACTACAGACAATTACAGATGAAGAACAGGAGTGACCAATGTTCCCTCTAAGTTGCGCAGTCACGCGATGCTGGATCAGGACTACGCAAATGAGCCAGAACTGCCGCCCATTCGCTTCCAGTCACAGCCAGAACCCCACACGCCAGCGGAGAATTAGAGGGAACATTGGGAAGTGACCCAAGAAAGGAGAATGGAATTGGACATAACCAAAGGCCAAAACTTTTGGGCCCCGGCAATATTCTCTGCAACAGACCAAGCATCTATAGACCTACACTCACTCACTCCAGCTTCAGAAGATAATTCACATTCTGCCCTGATTAGAGATGTGCAGATCAGACTATTTTTTTTTTACTCGTGTCAGTTTCTCTTGTGATATTTTATGAGATTTTTCATTAGAAGATTCTGTTCTCTTCTGCACTAGCCTGTATTTTTTGCAAGAATGCTGCATGAAAAATTTTAGGAGAATTTTAAAAGAATCTATGAAGAATCTTTTTAGGAAGAATCTACATGAAAATTTACATATATTTTGTACACATTATAAAATAAAATATTAATTGATACAGTGCATGATACAGTGAAATATGTCTTTTGTAAATACATTATTTTTAAAGCAAAACACTGCACAACAGTATGAGAGAAGAAGAACTTAAATTACAGTTGCATTCAGTTTTCTGTTTCCTCCTCTATCCTTACACCAATCCCTGCAATATCCAGTCTGAAGTAGAGTCTTGCAAGACCTGGAAACTTGCTTATTTTGGATACACTAGTAGTGCAAAAAGATACTATCCAATCTTAATTTTGGATTTTGTATCACATGGTTTTTCTGTTTGTTTGCTTGCATGCTGGGATAAAACTGCTGACAATAACGTCTACAATTAGGGCAATATCTTAATTTTGGATTTTGTATCACATGGTTTTTCTGTTTGTTTGCTTGCTTGCATGCTTGGATAAAACTGCTGACAATAACGTCTGCAATTAGGGCAACGGGGGAAAGTGTGCTGCTTATATACTGCCCCATAGTGCTTAAAGCACTCTCTTGGCGGTTTGCAATTTAATTATGTGATTATACATTGCCCTTCGCCAGTAAGCTCGGTCCTCAATTTACCAACCTTGGAAGGCTGGAAGGCTGAGTGAACCTCAAGTCAACTACTTAGGATTGAACTTGGACCATGAGTAGTTTTGGCTGCAGTATTGCAGTTTAACCACGGTGCCACAAGGTCTCCAAGGAGACTTACCATAATTCAAAAAGGACTGCACCACAACAACTCCATCCAAATCAAAATAGAAACTATGTGTGCCAACAAAAAGCAATGCACAATCCTGTAAGTCAGTGGTTCCCAACCTTGGGCCTACAGATGTTCTTAAGAACATCTGGAGGCCCAAGGTTGGGGACCACTGCTGTAAGTCACAAGTGACTGTTATTTTTATTTATTTAATGTCTTTATATTTTTAAAAAAATTCCCCGCTTTTCTTTGTGATTGTTTTCCAGAAGCATTGCTACCTTTGCAGAAGATGGTAGAGCTGGAACTGTAGGCAGACCCTACCTCTTCTTGATCCACTCACCTTCCCGATGGCGTTTGCAAGCTGATCTGGCCTGCTCTTGGGTTACAGCCATGTAAAGCTCCTTTAGGCTAGAAGTGAAAAGATGCCCATCTCCTAGGCAGCAGGCTTGGGGCAAAGTCTAGGAAGCAAAAGGAGAATTCTTAAGAGTGCCCCCAATTCCAGATGACACAACACAAGAACCGAGAACCCCTCATTCCACCTAAGTGCCATAGGACAAATGCTTAGAAGGATATTGGTTCAGGACTGTATTACAGTATTAACAGCAATTTTCACACTAGACAAAGCATCTCACTGGTTCATTTGCATTAGGGCCCCTGTGAAATTTGGTGTGATCCTGCCTGTGCTTAAAAAGTCCTTATCTTCAGTGCAACCTATTTTAATTTTTTGTACCTGTCTGCAAAGGCAGAATAGAGACTTATTTTGCATCTCAATGAATCATCCCCAAAAGATGCCCTGGCCCTGTGCCAGAAAGATAAGGGCCAGCTCTTTAAGAGGAAGGATGGATCATTCTAAGTAGAAACACAAGTGGATGAGGCCTTTTTTCCCCCCTGTGCCAAACAGTGCTATCAGGAGACCAGATACCATAACGATGTGCCAGTGTGGATAGGCTCTTACTCAGGGCTAATGGTTAGGGGGAAACCATGCCTCACTTGAGGAGAACCCATTTTGGATACAGTAGCTCCCAAGTTCAGTCCTTAGCATCTCCAGAGAAAAAGAATTAGTGAACTGGTGGCAGAAAAGATCCACATCTGCTCTGAAGCTCTGCGGAGGTGTTGGCCTGTGTTGACAAACAGTGGCAAAAGGCAGCTTGTTACGTTCATTCTTATAATAGCTCCCAGTGCTAAATCAATTCACACCTCCCTCAGTGTGTCAGGAAAAGGCCTCAATGAACCCTGAGAAGGTCTTCTATTTCTAACACGTGAACTAGCGTGGAACTGGACAAATGAGTGTGAAATGTCTCTCCAGTTCTAAAAGCAGAGCCATAAGGTTTGGAAAAAGAGCTCCTGGCTAGTAGAGGGACACAGGGCTTGAAAAAGTTACTTTTTTGGACTACAACTCAGCAAAGTACCTTAGACAGCAGAGAAAGGAAATCATTCCAAGCTCTTTCATAAGACAGTTGCCCAGCAGAAAGTGTTAGATACACAAAAAGGTATTACTCTCTGCTGGGTAATCCAGTCCATCCTGGCATAGCAAGAGGGGCACAAGGCCCACCCAATCCCACCCCTGAACTTAGGAAGCCTAAAGGCTTCTGCCGCTGCCGCCTGTTTTCCAAAGGTTTCCAGAGATAATGTCTCTGTGCACAGTGCCTGCTCCACACCCAAACAGTTAGGAGAACAAAGAGTAACAGATAACAGGGCTGTTCCTCTCATTGAGGCATTCATCCGCTGAGGCACTCAAGGCCAGAGTCCAAAGGCACTGCCCGTCACCCACTCCTTCTGCTTCAGGCAGTAGGAATGGCACACGCTTCCTGGCTACACAGCGTAGAGGAGGACAGCCAGTAACAGAGAGTGAGCAGAAAGGGATGGTGTGAGGAGTGAGAGGAGAATGTTATGCTCAACACCTTGCAACTCCCAAACAACCCCAAATTCTTACTGAGGGACCATAGAGGCTGATGCCTTTTCTCTGGATTTTTTTTAAAAGCCTTATTCACAGCAGTGCTTCAGTCTAGCCCCACACTGGCTAGTCTGAGTTGCAGAGACTCTCCAGTTCTTCAGACAATGATCTCTCTCAGCTCTGCAATCAGAGATTCTTTTAAAACTAAAAACACCAGGGACTGAATATTGGAACCACCACCACCCCTTCGGAAATCAAAAGGAGCTATAGCTCTGCCTTCCTATATTTGTAGTGAGCATATAATGGGGAGGGGGCGCATCCTTTTTTATTTCACTTCAGAAACTAAGTTTACCCCATATCCTATAGAAGGTCTACAGGAGAGTCCAGAAAGAAATCCAGAAATAAATGCTGGACACATTCCATTTGAGGAATCTTCCTATGGAAGGAGGAAAGACATGAGCGAAGACTGTCTGGACAACATGTCCATCAGGTTCACTTGGGTTGGTACAACATCAGTTCACGTGCAGGTTTGAAGCAAAATACTTTACCCTGCAAAGCAGAAGTAGGATTTTGCTCATGGACTCCATTCCCTACAGCTTGTGCTTCAGTGACACAAAGTCCCCTTCCTAAGTGCTACTTTCACTGAGATGCAAGCAGGCACATTTCTCCTTAGCCATGAGGTAGAAATATCACATCTAGAATGTAGCATGCAAATGGTAGAAATGATTCAACTGCACTCTGATGTAACTGATCCATCATACTGTCTTGTATCAGAAATGGTTAAGGACAGGACAGCACATACAAATTAAATTGCCCTCGTGGCCAAAGGGTACTACTGACTGAAGAGGGCAAGGGGGTGGAATTCATGAAGTATGATCATGTCACAATAGACAGAAGAAGAGAATTGAAACTAAGCATAGAGAGCAAAAGAGGATGAAAATGTTTCTGGCTATAACTACTGGAAGGCCTTTCTACCTCAATGTATTTTTGTATAATGAAGCCAGCTTTGTTTGGTTGTGTAAGGAACCCAAGCACCTTCTCTCAAGACTGAAGCACATTGCTACCTCTCCTTTCCTTTTTTCTTCTGCATGTAGATAGCAAATGCTTAAAGAACCATGGCTGCTTACTGACTAGTGTCTGCAACATAAGTCGTGATGAGAGTTTGCTTATTTCATTCACATTTTGATAAACTAAATGAATCCCATTAAAAACAAAAAAATAAAAGAGCTGAAAAGCAATACTACCCATCCTACTCTCTGGAGAACAATCTTGCTATTTCATGAAACCAGATTTCTTTCTACAGTATCTGCCTGTTGCTGCTGTTTTTCCCCCTCCCCTTTTCTTTTAGTGCAGAGGTTCCCCAGACGAGGAAGCAAATGTCCCCAGTTAACAGTAAAAGCATGAGGAAAGGTTATCTCGTGCAGCAAGACTGCTTCAGCCCACCACTTCTACTACAACAAAATACTATGGGCTGAAAAGTATCAAGGGTTCAGTTCCACTCCACCCATGGAAAGAACTGTAGAATTTTCAGTAAATTAAGTGTTCACCTGTTATACCCCTAAAGTTTACAAATATGTTGGTCATTCAAATGAAATCTATTGTTCAGAGGGAAGAACTGGCCAAATTCCTAGTCGCAGTGACAGTGTTTTTTTTAATGCAGTATAAATTGGCAGTGTAAGGGCATTTATGCTATTCATTAAACAATAAAAATAATGATACAGATTGGTGCCTCTTAAAAATAAAGTACAGTAGCCCAGAACTAATCAACTTCTTATCCTTTATGTTGTAAGCCGCCTAGAGTGGTCGAAATGACTAGATAGGCGGGGTATAAATACAATAAATAAATAAATAAAAATAAATAAACTACTTAATGCACTTTTAAACCACCCATTGATCAATGGGCTCTGTTGTGCATTACCCTACATAAGGAGAGGTAAATACATTGACTGCATGTCTAATACTGCAGCAAACAAGGGAAAAGGAAGGCTTTGCCAGGAATGAAATGACTATGAATGACATCAGTATTCACAAGTTGTGTCCTACAGCACACGACTTTACTTATTTAGTTGAGGCAGCTAGGCTGATGTGTGACTCTGCTGACACTTTTTCCACAATGTACCTGTTCCTGCTCCTAAAACAGTGAATTGTGTCTCTTAATTGCAGGCAGAGAGAAGTTGGAGAATTGCTTTTCCGCAGGAGCCTACATTAGATAACCCTTTGGCCCCAGCGAATACTCTACAGGAAGGACCAGAAACATAGAGGCTTGCCTTAGAGCTCTCTTGCTGTAACTAGGCTTTAGTGAATTGTAAAAACTGGCAGGTGAATGAACCCCAAAGGTAGGGCAGGCTCAGCCAATAGGCAGCTGGAGTTGCCAGATCAAAGGCAAAGACACAGTCATAACTCAGGGAAAAGTAAACAGCAAGGGACCAGCACAGAACAAAAAGAGTGTACCCAGAGCAGGCACCGTAGCAGGTCACTTGCTGCCTTTTCTTGCTTTTCCAGCCCATACACCCCTTTACTCCCTCCCCAAGACACACTGGTAGAAAACAGGCTGGTGGCAGATCCCAGAGCATGGTGACCCCCATAGCTTTCTCTAAGCTACTGCCAAAAATTGAGCCTACAGTTGTTAAAAGTCTCTGCCTCACATTGAGATAAGCAGTGGATCTCAGAACACATGGATCTTGTCGCATTTCTTTCTCTTCTTAGCAATGTCAGAAATGGTAAGTAGCTGGATGGGAGACCACTAGGTAGTAACCAGGTTTCCAAGCAGGACTAGGAAAGAATCATGCCTGAAATCATGGAAAGCCACTGGGCTAAATGGGACCAAAGGTAGGGCTCAGTATAAGGCAGGTTCTTGTCCAAAGCTAAAGTTCAGGCTCTCCCCAGAGTTTCTAGACATCTTCTTCATCTGTGTCTTATAGTCGAAGAAGATGAGTGGTATCTTTGCATTTGTCATTCTAGCTGAAAGGGAAATTCTCCACATACTCCTGAGATGGGGAGGGATATGCTCCACTGGGATGCCACTGAGGATATTAACACAGCCAAAAAGAGTTGGGGTACAGTGAGGTCTTGACTTGAGAACTTAATCCGTATTGGAAGGCAGTTCTCAAGTCAAAAAGTTCTCAGGTCAAATCTGCATTTCCCATAGGAATGCATTGAAAACCATTTGATCCGTATCTGCTCTTTTCCGTCCATAGAAACTAATGGGAAGCTGCTATTCCGCCTTCGACCACTAGAGGGGGATATTTTGTTTCTTAGGTCAAGAAAGGTTCAGGGAAGGCAGGGAAAATACAGTCCAGGCAGGACAGTACCAGGCAGTCCGAAGACTGTCTCCCAATCCACTCTCTAAACGCTGGGAGGAGTGAGGAAGCAGACAGGCACCCTTTTCACTGGCCAACAGTTAACTGAAAGTTTAAATTTTACACTTTCCCTGCCTCCCACGTGGTTTTTTTCAGTTCTTAACTCAAATCTAAGTATGTAAGTCAAGTCAATATTTTCCTATGAGAGTGGTTCTTAAGTCAAAATGTTCTTAACTCAAGCCATTCTTAAGTCAAGACCCCACTG